CCAATTTCCATAATGTGTAAGTAAATAGCTATATCAATACACCAACTAACCAACGTAAAATAATTATCACGCGAATAAAAATGCTTGATGTTCACACAAAAGTCTCGAATAGCCTTAATGGATGTTCAAAAAGGCTGTTCTTTTATTTTCTGTGACTTATTTTCTTACTCATTACGAGTCTGCATCTGCAATTAAGAAGTAAAGGGAATTCGGAGACTGGAATGGGATAAATATGCTTTCTCCCTCCTTTTTCTTTACTGCTTTTCCCTTCTGAGGACATAATTCAAAACTTGTGTCCATTAACAGCAATTATCATAATAATGTCATCATTTACGTTCATTTTGATTCATCACCCTTCGAATTTTAAGCCCACCGTTTCTGAACGTTCTTTTGTTCAGAAATATCAAACGAAAAAAGTCTGATAATTATTGATGCATGACTTCAAACAGAGGTGTCTATTTATTCTACGAGTTTTACACTTTTTTAGTAAGAAGGCAATATTTTAAAATGTCGGTTAAAGGTAAATATTTTTAAATATATACATTAGAAACTAGAAGTTAAATCAATTTGCAGATCCATCTTGCAACAGTTTAGTTATAAAAATGGACAGTTTGTATCTGTTTTCATTGTGTTATGTCATCATTAAAGAATTTATCTTCACTGTGGAGTTTTGTTGCAACACTAAAGAAATGATTGATATAAAAGGCTGATTAATGATTTTCCTTTTATATTCCTTAAGATTTCATGTCTTTTTCCTTAATAATTAAACAATCTTTTTGAATAATGAATTTGCTGTTTAATAAATAAAATAAAAACGTTACGATATACTTTGTTAAATGTCTCATAGGTTAATATAAATGTAATCTATTTGAGAACAGGGTAATATATCAATATTTACTATGACTTTTTTCTCTTGTCAATGGCTAGAAATTGAAATTTATTTCCTGAATAGATTTCTGTATTAGTTTGCTTACTTACTTTTAACCATTTTTTAATGTTTTTTTTTTAAATTTTTATTTCCAATGGCAGATTATGAACAGTTACAGCAAAAAAAAGAACAACGAAAAAAAAAAACATACAACAACAACAAAACATGCTGAAACAGAGTTCATTAATCTAACAATAATGCCAAGTTGCAGATCTTTTAGCCACTAAAAAGTGTTACCAGGTGCACCACGGGGAGGTAGATCTTCTGCGCACCCATTTTTTTAATATAGAATGTACATTATGCGTAAGGATTATATCTAATTGTTAAATGAAATTATTTTATTTTATTTATCAACATTTATTTTGCCAGAGATGAGAAAAACAAGTATGTAGCATTGGGAAATACATTAATAAAATTAACTATTTTTAATGAAATAAATGGCTTTTTTAAGTTAACAAAACCTCCCCAAATTAATACCTAAAAATTATAAAAATGAACACATGTGTCACATATTCACATGTGTCTCCTGAAATGCATATAATTTTATATGGCATTTAAAATTGTGTTTTATGATACCTAGATACTGAAAAGTAAAAAAAATTGCTTCATAATCTATTTTGTTCTTGAAAGGTTTGATGATGTTAAAAAATCTATCGTAGCTATAATCATTATTTCTCTAACAGATGCGCCAGTAGGTTAGTTAGATAAATTATTACGAAATGCAATTTTAGAATAATTTATTCTTGATGATGAATTCTGCTATTTTTTTAACTCCTTAAGTGACAATAACTTTTCAATGCAATCAATACAGGTTTATAATAAGCAAAATTTTTCAGATTAGTAGCATTTGCGATGTCTATTATTATTATTATAACCCAATTAAAATGTTTTAAGTAATATTTTAATTAGTATTTTTAATAATTTTTATTAATTCAGTTTAAATGTTTTAAATAATCTTTTAGTTAGTATTTTGAATAATATTTTTATTAATTCAGTTTAAATGTTTTAAATAAATATTTTATTAGTATTTTTACTAATATTTTTAGTAATTCAGTTTAAATGTTTTAAATAATATTTTTATTAATATTTTTTAAAAGTATTTTCATTAATCCAGTTTAAAAATTTGAAATACATTTGCTGAATGTTTTAAGTTTATATATGTCGTAGAATAGTTCAATATTTATTTTCATTAGGTAAATTGAAATTCAATTTTAAGCCTAATAGTCTTAAATAAATTTCTAATATTCAAACATAATATTTTTAAGTTAAAAATTAAAAATAAAAAAAAAATTTCATTTATTATTATTATTTTTTTTTAATTAAAATAATTTTTAGGTTAAATTATATGAGTTAAGTTTAATACAATCTATTCCTTTATCCCTAGAATAAGAGAGATTGTATTTTAATGCTTTCATTGAATAAACAACTTCAAAATAAACCTAACTAGATTACCAAATAGATTCGTCAGGAAATAATTATCTGTTTGTAAAATATCTGTAATTAATTAGGATTGTGTCCATCCTATGCGCTAATAAAATAACCTTTAAAACTAACTTATTAATTTAGTAAAAATGTTAACATGTTTAAACAATTAATAACCACAACCCTTAACCACAACGTGTAACAACCATAAATGTACAACAAACCAACTATAACATTAATACATCTGACTATTAGAAATAGAAGAAATAAACTCAGCAATTAATCTATTCTAGAACAACACCGAAATCCATTTTATTCAAATGAGATCGTTCACTCTAAGTACTGACGAACAAAATATACAATTTTAATTATGTTTTGGATTAAATATAACATCATTAAACACAAAAATTTCTAATTTCCTTCCACAATCCATATATGGTACATTCATGTTTAACTATTTTCTAAATATGTGTTAATAAATTTAATATGATTCCAGTTGACGCTAGTTAAGATCCAGACGGCACTCAATTTTAAATCAGATGTTTTCCTATATTAAACGTATTACAAATGCAATGTCAGTAATGATATACATATTTGAAGTTCAGTATACGACTATTGTTTACGGGTTCTTTAACATATGTTCTTACATAGAAAGTTCCATGGATTGGCATCTAAATACAACTTCTCAAGTTATCACCCCTACTTTAACACGTTATTTTAAACTTAATTGATTCAAATTCGGTTTATAATGCGACATTGAAAACTTTCTGGTGTATGATAGCTTTTACAATTACTGTGGAAACAGGAAAATTACACATTTTCCTCTGTCAGTAAACACATTGACAACTAAAATTTACAAGAATAACTCGTTATGATGTCGTTTAATAGGACGACGATTTGTCAGGTTGACGGAGATCCTTGGTTAATTTATATGTGCATTAAATTTTTTTATTATTCTTTTATGTTATTATGAATAATATTCAAAACAGCGCGAGGTCTTTTGCGGTTTTTGAAATCAGAAATGTCGCAATCACAGTTACTTAGATCATTCAAAACAGAATTATCAATATTTAGAATAGAGTTATAAAATTTCTGTGCTATTTTATATACAAATTGGGAGGGAAAGAGCATGTCTGATATCCTCATTTCGGAAAAACCAGGGGAATTTGTAATCATACATAGGATTTTATTTTCAAGTCTTTGTATCATCTCGAAATTCGACGGGGCATTAGATTCCTAAATAGGACTCGCATATGCAAGTATTGGACGCAAGTATCGTTTAATAGGAGTTAACTATTGCTCAATTTATTCATAGTTCTCCAATAACTTATGAGGATCCTACATTCAACAAAACAATATTATAACTGGTTTTTCTCCCAAGATAATACACGAATGAATAAAATAGCGTCACATACCTCCTTTGACATGAACCTCTCTGCTGATAACAGATCCAATACTGTTGGACGCCAGACACTGGTACACAGTGTCATGCACATCCTGTCTGTAATCATTCCTCATAAATGGCAGGAACACCAGTGTTCCATCCGATCTAGTGTACCGCAGTCCTGGTACATCCGGTGCATTTCCGCCTTCTTTTTGTGCGCCAACTAAGATTCGGATTCGGTATACCATCCGCAATACAACGTACTTCTGTACTGCTGCTATTTGAAAACTCGACTCTAGAGGGCGGTTCAGTACTGAAAACGGGTCCTCTTTGGTCATACTGGTTTGGATCACACAGACCTGGAGATATAAAAGTACAAAAATTTACTAACCAAATACATATATTAAAAGATATATACGCATAGTTATTAATTATACATAGGTATTAATATTGACTAGGTATTGTTATTGACTTAAAGCAGAATAAACAAAAATGATAATGCAAAGTGTTTTTTATTTAAAAGCATCAGTTCAAAGAGTGGTATACAAATTTAGGAGAATTTCTGCTTTTAAGGCCGGCATGAGTACGATAAATCAGTAGCCCAGAAATGCTATCCAAGGGGTTCAAAAGGAATGGTGCAAAAATACCCGATTGCCGCCATTGGGTGTCTCAAATTGGGAGCGAATATCCAAAATCAGTAGCCCAGAAGGGCTATCCATGCAGTTAAAAAAATGGTGCAAAAATGTCCAATTGTGTACGGGGAGGCTTCAAATTGGGGAGAGACTATAAAAAAGCAAATTTTAAATGTTTCTATTGCAATGTGATCAACAAGCTTGATGACCGATAGTTAGGAGCAGGAACCATCTGCATTAAACATTAGTTAATCACTGGATTAACAGAATAAGCCATTAGCCATCAAGCTTCTGCTCACTTGCATAGAAACGGGAATGAATACTTCAAGTTTAAGGTATCAGCTGAGAGTAACTTAAGCTAGTATTTCTTACATTAAATATGCTGCTACTACTACTACACTACACCACATCACTGTGCCTACAACTGTGTTGCCCCTTTACAGTTTGGGAATGATGTGGGTGAGAAGTTTGATTGGGCTCCGGGACACTCTGTGGTCATATGAGACCGGGACCTACGGCTTAAAGTGGATTACGAACCATTACAAACATCCATGGTACCGCCGGGATTCGAAACCAAAATCTGTGGTGGCGAGAGCCAGAGCGCTAACACTCGGCCATCAGGCTCCAAAAAAAAAGTGTGGGATTAGAACCCATGCCCACCTAAGTGGACTGCGACCTGAATGCAGCGCCTTAGACCACTCGACCATCCTGACACATACATTAAATATGCTGCCATAAAGTGTTATTTCTTATTTAAAGATACTGCAAAAGAACTGAAATTCAGCGTTATGGCCATTATAATCAAATGCAAACATTTACAGTTGCATTAAACGTAGTTCACTTAAATTTTGTGCTCAAATAATTTTTAATAATTTACTTCAAATTGAAGCGAAATTATTTCTCTGAATAATAAAAAATTTTCGCAAATCCCTATAATTTAATTCCTAATGTATTTCTAAGTCAATTGAATTAGAAGTATAAAAAAAGGGGAATTTCGCTTTCCTCTAAACTAAATTAAATAGTTTTTCGCTTATAAAAACATTAGCTTTAAAGTTTGAAAGATATGACGCATCAAAAAATACTTTTCTCCCTTTTCAACTAGCTGTAGGAGAAAAGAAGTTCTACGAAAAAGTGCAAATGATTTTTTTTTTTTCCCGCAAGCTAGTACGCGTAGCAAAATTAGATTCCGTTTATCAGATCTAATTTAATATTCTAAAGATCAGGAAAAAAATATAGAAGTTTGAGGAAAAGACCGCAAATGAATAAATTCAGAAATTCGTTTACGAACTGAAATCTATTTTGGATGAAACTAATTTTTCACTTATTTATACACAGCTGAACAAAAAATAATTTGACTATTTTAAATGAAATAACAACGTTAATAGAAAGAACTCCTATTTATTCATGTTATAGCTTTATAATTTAGCATATGCCGTTTTTGAAAACGAAATAATGATAATACAAATCCTGATTTTTTTTTTTTTTTTTTGTATTTTGGTGGCACGTGCTGGGAAAAAAAAAAATTTCGTAACATTTCACTTTATGCTAAATACCGAGATATTCAACACACAAAAATATTTTTTTGCTTAAAAAATGTTTCTATATTAATTTAAGATTGGTTTGGTTTGTCGCTCTATGGTCATTTTTTGCACTGTTTAAGCTAATTAGACTGGGACCTATAGTTTAAAATGGATTCCAAACATCCATGCCACCACCAGGATTCGAACCTGGTAGTTTCTTTTAAGGGAACTGCTTCCAACTTAATCTAATCAATTGCATTTTTAAATAACGTTTTCATTAATAGATATTTCAATACATAAATTTCTCTGATTGGAAAAAAAGAAAATGTTTCAGAGGTTGTCGTATTTATTAAAGAATCATATATTGTAATTTATCTATTATATTTTTAAAAAATCACATAATTTATCCTTATAGTATATTTTAATGCAGATTTTCTGCTTGAAATGTTAACATTATATTGTTAGAGCAATTCAACAACTTTTGAACTTTTAATCGACGTTACATTTTTTAAGCCACAAATAAAAAAAAATTTGTTTTTTAAGTAACTTAACGCTGTACATTTTTTTTTTTTTTTTTTCGAAAATATTTTTTTAAATTCATATAATGATTACTAACAAAATAATAAATTAATCCTCAAAAGTTAAGTTATGTTTTATATTTTGCTTATATTATATTTGCTTATACTTTATATTTTTTAATCAAATATATGCCCACTATAATATATAAGACTAAAGGTACACAAAATTGACTCAGATTATTATGCCCAACATATATATCCCCATATAACTATTTACGTAATATAATGTATTTTTAAAAATAATTTATTTTCATTTTAATTTAAAACATAACATTTTAAACCAGTGTTTCAAAAAGACAAAATTCAAATAATAATATTTTCCAAAAATTTATTTTATTAAAAACAAAAATAATTATATTAAATATTACTTTTATAATACTTTTTCTAATAATTACTAATATAACTATATTTTACTAACAATTACTTTATTTTTATAAATAACTGTTTCAACGTTAACTGAAACCCTTCCTCTAAACAGAGGCACCAGAGGCTTCAGGTTCGAATCCCATGGATGTTTGTGAGTGGTTCGGAATCTACGTTAAGCTATAGGTCCCGGTCTAATTAGCCCAAATTGTGCACAAAGTTATCGTATAGTGACAAACCAAACCCTCTAATAAACGACATGTAATACAGTAATCTGATGACTGCATTTGCATTTAGCAGCATTAAGTCTATAAGAATCAATTAATAATTTTCCAATGGGAGATTTGAGGCCGACCAGTGTAATCAATCTCCTTATAAATTAACAGAATAATCTTTTGCTTCTTAATACTTAATTATCTTGCAAAAGACTTTCTTAACATAGTACTTATTTTTTAATAAGTATCAATTTCCAGATGTTCATCTCTTTTTTTATGAATAGCCTTTCACATGTAGAAATAATCTGCATTAAATACCACTCATAAACATCAAAAAGGTCTCTCTAAAAAAAACAAAATATTAAAAAAAAAAAAAAAAAAAAAACTGACGTAAAATAAACGACAATTAACGTGCATACAATGACTTCAAGAAATGGGGTGTCTTTTTCTAACGCATCTATCTATCTTAGTGCCATTAATACTATCGGCACTGACGGCATCCAATCTAATATGTGTGGCCATTGCCAACTGGCAGAAATCCAAAGAAAAGACACACTGGTAATTTTCTACACTAATATGCAAACTAGTTTTAGTTCGTTTGATACTGAGTTATTTGAGACCAGAGTTTAAATTATACCATTTGTGACAGCATTTCACATTTACAGTCGGACTGTGTGATTTGAATTTCTGGTATGAGAATTTTTTAAATTTCACACATCTCAAAATTTCCAAGGATCAATTTTCCACTCAGAATAATTAAATTAAATAATAAATGTATACAGTCTTTGAAAATAATGAAAATAGTATTTGAGAATATCATTGTGTATGTCATTCTGAGGTAAATTATTATTTGGGATAGAACGAGCAAAAGAAATTAATACTTAGTGTAAAAGCGTTCATTTGTTATATAGGACTGAATATCTGGTTTTATTGAGTTATGTAGTGTGCAGATTGGGCAACCCGATTGTAACTGGGTGTGGTTGAGTTGAGATACATGAGGCACAGGTAGGAGAACTCTCAGTTTTATCTACACAAGCACAAACACCACACACATAGAATTACTATTAACACATATAATTACTAAACACTATTTAACAAATTTAAAGACAGATAATTAGAGATTAGTGGAAATATTTCACTTCTAAGCCGAAACCCCAATACTCGGATACGCGCAGGATGCGCAAAAGATGCTTCCTCTCCAGGTGAGAATCTGTAACCCATTCGAACCTAAAGCCTGGGTACCATGGCTATGGCCATTGATACCACATTAGAGATTAGTGGAAATATTTCACTTCTAAGCCGAAACCCCAATACTCGGATACGCGCAGGATGCGCAAAAGATGCTTCCCTCCAGGTGAGAATCTGTAACCCATTCGAACCTAAAGCCTGGGTACCATGGCTATGGCCATTGATACCACATGCTTTAGATTAGAATTCTACTGTGGCATGGATGTTTGTTGGTGGTTCGGAATCCATGTAAAGCTGTAGGTTCCGGTCTAATTAGCACAAAAATGTGCACAAAATGACCATAAAGCGACAAACCAAATCTCGAAAGGAGAGACTATAAAATAAACGTTTCTCAGCATGAGCGCAGGTTCCGCTACACTCCCTCTCGGGTGAGAGACTCGAAGACAGAACTCGAGAGACAACTGGCCATTTCTCCTGAGTGCCACAAGAGGCGTTCTTGCCAGTGTGTGTGAAGGAAGAAGGAAAAAAAGTCTCTAGGTAAATTAATAGTTTATATTGAACTATTAATTTACCTAGAGACTTTTTAAGAAAGTTATAAATAAGATAAAAACTCTTCCTGAAATACAATTCGAAACGTTTTTAAGTTTATTCAATACTCTTATTCAATAATATATCAATATTATTCAATACATCAATATTATTAGTTTGGTAGTATAACATAATAAATAATAATAATATCAATATTCAGACGTGCAAAATTGTACATCGCCAATTAATTTATAAGTCACCATAAAAGAAATCTATTAGGTTGTAGTTTTACAAGTTGCCTAGTTTGCAACTGGACGAGACTGCAGGTGGAGCAGTTGAAATCGGACAAAAACTATGAAGAATGGAGAAAGGCTCTGAAAAAGCTTTGTGAAAACAGTTCTCCCACAGCCAAATTAATTTCATTCTCTTCTGTCATATATTCTCGGTTCTATTAAAACTATACTGATTCAACTCGAAAGCTCAAATGCAAAAATAATTTTTTTTTTGTTCTAATGCAGTCCGCTAACACTTAGACATTTGACTTCGATGCCTTAAGGCAAGCGCTGCACCGACGTTACTCACTTAGCACTACCCAGGAGGTGCGTGTAGCTTGAAGATAAGTTACGGACGTGGAGTAACAATACCTACGCAACGCTCTACGATCCTATTAGACCAGGACCTACGGTTTAAAGTTGTTTCCGAAACACTACAAACATCCATGGCACCGCTGAGACTAGAATTCGAAACCTGTGGTACCGAGCGCCAGAGCGCTAGCCACTCGGCCTGAAACAAATAAGATTGTGCATCAAGCCAGATGAACAACAAGTAAACATGTCGTAAAACGCTAACTTTTTGGTTTGGTTTTTGCCGCTCTACGGTCATTTTGTGCACAAGGTAATTTTACCGGGACCTACAATTTAATATAGATTCCGAACCTAACAAATATACATGCCACCCACAAAATTAGAACCTGAAGTTTGTGGTACCAAATGCCAGCTATTTGTTCACCGAGCAGCAGGGTAACTTTTAGCAATATAAAAACAAACACAAATTAAAATCCTTGTAGGATAATATTTGGGGTCTGATGGCCGAGTAGCACTCTTAGCCACAGGTGTCGGGTTTGAGTACCGGTGGTACCATGAATGTTTGTAGTGGTTCAAAATACACTTTAAACCGTAGGTCCCGGTCTAATTTCACTACTACTATTACTATACCACACCACACCTCATCTCATCTCATCACTGTGCCTAGTGCTGAGTTGCTCCTTTACAGTTTGGGAATGATGTGGGTGAGAAGATGATTGGCTCTGTGACGCT